GATACAAAAAGGCCATACACAAATGGGAAAGGTAAAGAATAGCCAGGAGGATGATAATTAGGGTCTGAAGAACTTCTAAGAATTAATAAGGAATAAACTAAGTTAGCCCAAAGGCTAATAGGCAAAAGGCAGTAGCAATCCACTGACAAGGACACCTGCATGACCTGTAACTAGAGAAGGTACTTTCCCTCTCCAGCAGAGTCCACAACCAGGTATGGAGGTATAATTGACACTGATCAGATCAGCAAACAAGATCAAAGCTAACAATTCCTAGAGCTGGGTAGAGACTTGGAGCAGGGGACTCTGAATGCCCCTAGGATGAGGTCACATTGGTAGAATCACTGTCAGAACAATATGGGGTGTACCTTAAAGGTGAGAGTGCACTGATCTAGGACATAGCTATTTTAATGCCAGCTGCATACACCCTCGAGAAAATCTTGAACCAGACACATCACAGAATGTTTACAGCACACCATTATGCAATAAAGTATTGTAATACAGGTAGCATCAACAATATTTATAAAGATTGACTTCTGGGTGATAGGATACATAGGCATCTACCACACTTTTTTTTATTAAAGACAGAACGTGATGGGAGATACTGCAAATTGAAACAGGTAAGTCGGACTACTTTTAGAACGTGTGGCATCAGATTTTAGAGTAAGTGTAGCCTGGAAGAAATCAAGCCTGGAGACCACCTGAGGAGGCTCAGATATGCTTCCTTAAGGCCTTGCTTACTTTCCTTGATCCAAAAGTAACAGCCCTGACTAAGTTACTGTATTGCCATTCTCCTCTCTAGGACCAGCCCCAACCAGTCACTTTTGAGGTGTGAATGACAAAATGACACTGACCTCAGGCCTCTGCTTTCACAGACAAGAACAGGGGCTCTTTCAGGTGTAACAGGATAGTAAGAAGCTAGGAAAATTCCAGGGCAAGTGGAACAGGGAACTAAGAAAAGAAAATTAAACAAGGCCAAACAGTTTGGGCAGCTTGCAGCAACACCTTATCTCCCCCAACCAAGAACATGTGAGAACAAATGATTAATATCTCTTCTCCCTAAGCAGAGAACACATAGCTTTAATCACCCTGGAAATGCTAAGGCAAGTGGGGGTGAAGGGGGAAGGAACGAAGAGAGTTTATCTCACCCACTGAACAAAGAAGTCAGCCATCTTAGGATTTGCCAAGATGACAAGGTGTACATACAAACATTCCCCCCAAAAGCTACAAAAAAAGTAAAAGGGAGACCTTGAGAGCTAATCTGTATCAAGATATCTGGCAGAAGAATCTTAAAACCTATAGACAGTAAAAAAGAAGGAACTCTTACCATTTGCAACAGCATAGATGGACCTGGAGAGCATTATACTAAAAAAGATAAATAACACATGATCTCATTCATTTGTGGAATATAATGAACATAAACTGATGAACAAAAATAGATCCAGAGACATAGAAGCATAGAACAGACTGTCCAACTTCAGAGGCAAAGGCGGAGGGGCGGGGGGAGTAGGAGAACAACCAAAGGACTTGTATGCATGCATATAAGCATAACCCATGGACACAGACAACATGGGGGTGAGGGCATGTGCTGGGGAGAAAGGTCAATGTGGGGCAGGGGGGAAGGAGACATATGTAATACTTTAAACAATAAAGAATTAAAAAACAAACAACAAAAAACCCCCACAAACCTATAGACAGAAAAGTATAAAAACCTTTGAACCCTTACGAGGCTGGCTCCTCAGATAAGCTGAGAGCCCATCTGCACTTTATGCCATATGTATTTTGATAGCTTTGCCTGCCTTGCTTCTTTAATAAATTTGCTTGCTTTACTTCTTTAATAAATTTGCTTTACTACAATGTTGCTTTCTGTCAATTGTTTGAATTATTTCTCTCGAGACTGACAAGAACCGAGGAGGGGAGAGCCCTCTCCTTTCAACTTAGGGGGCTGTCTGGTAATACCATTTCTGGTATTTCTGGTGCCTATAACACAGGTAAAGAAATCCTTCTACTTCTCTTCAAGTCAACATTATGTCATTTCACATAATTTTTATTACTTTTTAATGAGGTTATATCACCTATGGGGAGACCCATTAATTAGCACTTTTAACAGAGATAATTAAACACTGTGTCTCAACTCTATTACTTTGAATACTCCATGAAGTTCCTAATTATTTTCATAACGTTATAGAGAAAAAATGATTTCAAAAGTCAAAGTAATTTGTAAATATATAAATAAGTAATAGTGTGTAGCATTTCGGCAGGATCAAACATTAACCCAGGTAGGAAGGTTAAAAGCCCTACCCTCATCATACCCAAGGCCCCCATCCTGGAATAAACTTCATGATACAGAATTAGGATATGTACATGACTGTGGTACCCAGTGTATAAGAGGGTGTTCTAAAGAGCCCTGAAGAAGCATGTTTCATCCTATGACTCTCTCCCATTACTGTACAATAAAGGAAGCGGAGGCTACTGCCCAGATGGCCAACCCTCACTTCTCTTTGCTCAATGCTCCTCCTATCTTGGTGTCAGCGCTGAAAAGTAAGGCCACTACCGATTCAGGCAGAGGCTCACGAATGTAGGAACAGTCCTTGGAAAGAACGGGAACTCTGAAGAGTATAATTGTTTTTGGCTGTAATGTTTTCAGAAAGTTTCTCATGGGAGGTCATGTCAGTTTCAGCTAACCACCTTCAAGGCCTGTCCCATACTTCTGTACACTGGAGATCTGTTCTCACCCTCCTGTCAAATCTGATGACTTCTCTGGACACTAGCTTCAAAATATCTCGTTTTCCCCCTAATTGTTTTAGCAATGGCTCATGGACAGTTCTTTTAAAGTATCTTTTCATCTTCAAATTATTTCTTTCTTGAAATATTTATTTCCTTGTGGGAACCTGAAAGCTTTACATGCTACAAAAGAATGACGACGTGGTTCCTTACTTTACTTTTTATAACTATAGAGGTATTGGTCAATTAGGGGAGAATCCCTTTGATAATCAGTCAGGCTCTTTGATTAAATTACTGTGATTCTTAAAGAGACTAGAGTTAATTCACAAGGCCTGATGGCTCTTTTGGCATCAGCATTATTTCATGAACAGATCCACTTCATTTATTTTTCTTTTAAAATCAGATAGTTTTAGTATAACTAGAACTTAATACAGTTAGTAAGTACTGGGAAAACATTTTAAAATTTAATAAGAATAGCTAATCTTATAAAATCTCAGAGTTTTAATTATGAAAAGAACTTGCTACATTAGTTAGAATAGCTACCTCTCTGGGAAAGTAAACTAGGTTTCAAGTACATAAAATCATGAAGAGTTCTTAGGTTCGACACTGAAAGTATAATCAATAAAAGGAAAAACTGGACTTTATCAAAATTAAATGAATTTAGTTAATGAAATTTTCAAAAATCAAGAGATAAGCTGAAGATTCTGAGAAAATATTTACAAGTTATATCTGATAAAGGACTTGTATCTGGAATATATACAGGAATCTCACAACTCAACCTAAAATGAGAAACAATCTGACTAAAATATGGGCAAAAGATCTGCACAGACATTACTTCAAAAAATATATACAAATGGCCCATAAACATATGAAAAGATGTTCAATACCATTAGTTACCAGGAAAAATCAAATAAAAACCACAATGAGATAACACTAAGGTGTGTATTAAAATAGTAGATAATATCAAGTGTTGATGAAGATGTAGAGAAACTGGAACCCTCATACAACTGCTGGTGGGAATATAAAATGATGAAGCCACTTTGGAAAACAATCTGGCAGTTCCATGAAAGGTTAAACAGAGATATACCATATGAACCAGGATTTCCACTCCTAGATATATCCCAAAGATAAATATAAAAAAGAGAAAGCCTCACTCTGTGCAAGGGCTTTACTTACTGAGGTTCCACTTTAGGCCCGTCGTTGTAACCTGATTGCAAGGCTGTCCAACAGGAATAAGGCCACACCAATCACCTTCCATTCCAGTGTCTACATGCAATTTGTGCTTTCCCTGAAGCAGAAAAGGGATGTTCATTAAGACAGGGAAGAGAAAGAGAGGGACATTAATGAGCACCGAATACCTGGTTGGAAGCACCAGGGACATCCTAGGAACACTGCATGGTTTATCATACTTAATCCTAATAACAAATGTATATAGTACTAGTATGTGCTGAATAATGCTAAGAGCTTTCACCTGGCTTAATCCTAGTGACAATTTTACAAGGTAGCTTATGTTAATTATCACGTTTACACGAGGAAACTGAAGCTTGCAGAGATTACGTGTCCAGGATCACACAGAGATAACAACAGTTCCTATCTATACCCACCTGCCAATTCCAGAGACTAAACTGGTTCTACAAACTAAAGATGTGGCACTATGTGATGTAGAATTCTAGAGCCTTATTCAAACACATGCTCAAGTGTAAATAAAATATTGGTTCCTAAATAAAACCTCTGCTTTTTCTGAGATTATAAATTTCAGCATTCAATGTCAATCCTAATAGTGGTTAACCTGCTTTCTACATGTATAGATGTCTAGGAGCTGCTCAGTGAGAGTGCCTCTACCAGGAAACAGAGTATCTGCCCTAAATGAACTAGCATGTTTCTTCCATTTTGATTATGAAAACTTACGCAATCTACCAACTTTCATGTTTTTCCATTCAAAAGAAGATTAAAGTTAAATGTAATGCTCAATTGAACCCACAATGTTTCCTTTTAAATAGGATACTTGAAAACTCCTCTTCTACAAAGTAATGATTTTCCATTTCTGTTCTATTCATTATCCTTTGGGTACATGGTCTTTATAGAAAGATACCTCAAGTCCTTGTGGGGAAATGCCAAGGCATGCATGCATTCATAATAGAATAAAAAAGTGTTTTTTATCATTCATATATCCCAGAAGAAAAAGTTCCAAAGGATATTGTTTTTTTTAAATAAAATAATGTCTTAAAATATGTATAATTACAACTTATTACCAGACTATGGTATCTAAGAGTCCTTTTGCAGTCATTTTACTTTTATTCCAATGATGCCTTTTGTACTCTATGTTATAAGCTTCTAAAAACTTTATTTTGCTGTCTATAAGGCTTAAACATATGAGTAGGCTCTCTTTGTCTTAGTCAAAGGATTGCTGTTATTAGGCAAATAATTGTCTGAATTTCATATAAGTCCTTGAAATTTAATATAAGTCCATGTGGATACTCATTACCTATATAATTCATACACATAAGGTATATTTTGAACATTCAAGCAGAAGGTATAAACTGGATTAAAAGGGCTTAAATATATTCAAATGAAAAGAAAATGTAAAGGGACTATATAATACATTAGAGGCCAGGTGCACGACATTCGTGCACTGTCGGGGGCGGGGGGTGTCCCTCAGCCCGGCCTGCACCCTTTTGCAGTCTGGAAGCCCTTGGGGTATGTCCGACTGACAGTTTAGGTCCGCTCACCGTGGGGAATGGGCCTAAGCTGCAGTTGGACACCATAGCGCTGCTGCGGAGGCGGGCTGCTGCGCTTGCCAGCTGTCAGCCCAGCTTTTGGCTGAGTGGCACTCTCCTTGTGGGAGCGCACTGACCACCAGGGGGCAGCTCCTGCATTAAGTGTCTTCCCCCTGGTGGTCAGTGCATGTCATAGCGACCAGTCGTTTTGCCGTTAGGTCAATTTGCATATTATCCTTTTATTATATAGGATTTTGAACTTGGTGTTCATCATTGGAAAAAAACATAGGCAACAAATGTCAATGCACACCAAGCAGTGGATTAAATGCACACAAAGAACCGTGGGTGGATTGGAAACACAATGCATGGTGAAAACGTAATATGTAGAAGGAAACAGAACTGGGGTAAATTACATAACCCATCCATACAAGTTAAAATAAATTCAAACACAAGACACTTTTTCTAATAACAGAACTTAAAACTATTATTTACACACACTAACATGTTTGTCTGTGGGAAGAGCAGGAGAACAGAATGTGGTACAGGGATAAAAGGGAGGCATCAACCAATCAATGAGCAGGCTTGGGGCAGAGATGACAATGGGCCATGAACAGACGAGCATTAGTGACTCAACACTGGATCTATACAAATAAAACAACAAATGTTTTCTAGATGCAAAGCCATACAAGACTTCGAAAAAAGTAGATACAATATTCTAATAATTCTAAACAATAATTAAAGAAAGAGGAATAATTAGAATACAGACATAGATAAATTCAGGAATGAAATCAAAATGAATCTTGTTCTAAAATAATAATCTTTGATGATTTTCTTTTTGTGTCAATATAGAGCAAAAGCATAGAAATCATCATTGTTATACAAATGTTCTACATAATACCATGTAAAAGTAATGCTATGATTGTTGTAAAGCACAGGGGAGGAAAAGTGGAAGAAAGTATATTGGCCCTAGGTTCGTCATTGTTTTACATGTATTGAAATCAAGTTGTAGATTTTAAAAGGAGGATTTAAAAATTGCCCCTGGCCGGAGTAGCTGGTCACATAAATAACATGCCTAAGCTGCAGGACAGACTGAGGGATGAGTGAGATTTGAAATAGTCCTTTTCTTCAACAGCTGTATTTCTCATTCATGAACCTCCATGCCAGTTATTTACAGAGCTATAGACATGAGAAGGATGATGAGTGCATGGAAGGCAAAAAACACACACAACCCAAACAAAACAAAACAGGGAAATTACAGATCAGGGACATACTCAGGTGTGTGGAGTGGGGCAGAAGGCAGGCAGGTGTGGTCACTGAAGGATGGACAGAAGTCAGCACCATGGAGGGACAACGAAGAGGTTTGAAGGCCGAGGGTGCACATGTGCAAAGGCCACACAGCAGTGCTGGGACATCACTGATGAGGGGAGGGTTGGGAGGAAAGAGTGGTGCACAGGGCAGGGAAACTATTCTGTGTGACACTGTAATGATGAATACATGACATTATGCATTTGTCAAAACCCATAGACTGTATAACACAATCAATTCTCACTTTTTTCTTTTGTTCCAAAAAGATGAGCAGCTGCATGTGCATGATCTTGTGTTTATAAACATGCAGATTTAGCTTTGCATGGTTAAAGGAGAGCAATGCTATCTATGCTTTTCTCCTATATTCTCACATCTATGTGACATCTTTCAAAAATGAACAACAGAAGGAATTTTTATTCATTCCTCAGATTTCTACATTTATAATATATGCCAGCCTATATGTGATTTGACAGGCAGGCAGGCATACAGCCCAACATTAAAGAACTTCCCTGAAGATTTATGGCATTACTGGAGACCAGGGGCACCTGCCTAACCAGTGACTTCCATCCACGCTCATGAATCACCACTGCACAGGCTCCTGTTCTGTCCCCTGTTCTGAGCCTCTGAAGTTAAAGACACTTCTGTACAGTAAAGACGCAACAAAAATCAATCAGACACTATGCTTTTCCAATTGTGGTTATTTAAAACACATTAATTACCTCGGAAAGGTATGAAATGGTAACTTAGTGAAAGGGAGCAAAGACGTTGCCTGATACCTATGCTAGAAACCACACTTGTGAGTGTGTTAAGGACAGGCAGCGTCAGGAAAGTATTGAGCAAAAGATACACAGTTACCTAACAAGGGCATAGGAAATCCTGTCACTTTGCTTGTATTATATCTCTTCTTTGAAAATGACGAGGACATGATTGAGAGAAAAGATAAAGTTTGCCCCAGATTTTGCTTTGCAAAAATACCAAAGATGGAGTCATCTCTTAAATCCAATAGCTATGCCAAAGTTATCTCAGTGTGGACATCAGAAAAAAAACAGCAATTTAACCAGATCATTCACAAAGCAACTGAACACAGGACAGGCATAAACATACTTTCCATCTAGTGTAAGAGATTCCAGGAGCAGATGGCAATGGCCATTTATAAAGTGGATAACCATTCACCAAATTGCTGTTGATGCTGAACGGACACCCTGGGGCTAAATGGCAACTACAATTTCTGGCACACAGGTAAACCCAGTGTGAGGGAATACCTTTGTATATTAAATACAAGGCTGACCTCTGGTACTTAAAATTTTATCAACAAACACCAAAAGCAAATTCCATAGCCTGCATGGAAGAATAGTGAAAGAAGTAAACTGAAGGATCTATACTACATTTACCAGAGAAGTTACCTGCCCCACACAAAGATAGACATTTGGACTGGTAAATTTTCATAGTGGGAGTACTCATGTGGCTGAAAGTAGTCACAAGAGAAAGGGTCTCCCCAGTGAACATGGAGATATAAAATCTCAGAACTAGAAAATGTCATAGTTCCATAAATGTAATTGCCAGAGGGAACGGGGGTAGGGTGAGGCAGAAGGTAAAGGGGGGGAAATGGAAGAAGACTTGACTTGGGATAGTGAACACACAATACAATATATAGATGATGTATTGTAGAACTGTACATCTGAAACCTATATAATTTTATTAATCAGTGTTGCCCCAATACATTCAATGAAAATAAAATAAAAATGCTTTTTAACAACAAAAAGCACAAGTGTATTTATTTTATTAAAAAGAGCATACATTGAGTCAAATTTACATGTAAATATACTTATCCAGTTCTTTAATTTAGAATATTTCCTTCTGAAAATGTAATATGCATCTATAGATAGCTTTTAGTGTTTTAAATCATGCCAGAGCCACATTTTTTCAAGTGCCTTCCACAGAACACTATTTCTTAGATTACTTCTTAAATTCTCTTCTGAAGTCACAGTGTATGTGTTCAGCATGTGTGATGTTCTAGGTCGTGTTGCAGCAAAAACCGACCACCTGAGCAAGTGTTTCCCACACTGACTGACTACGGATCCCTGCCTATCCCTCAAACATGTCATTAACCATATAATCTGCATTTCATGAAAACCATCTAGGAAAATATTGCTTTGGAATACTAATTTTGCACATAGCATCTAAAACTATGATGTTTTGGCCCTGGCTGGGTGGCTCAGTTAGTTGGAGTGTTGTCCTGTATACCAAAAAGTTGTGGATTTGATCCCCGGTCAGGGCACATAGGGGAGGCAGCTGGTGGATGTTTCTATCTCACAATGATGTTTCGCTCTCTCTATCTCCCTTTCCCTTCTTCTCTTTCTCAAATCAATAAAAACATATCCTCAGGTGAGGATTGAAAAAATAAAACTATGATATTTTGCTTTATTATTTCCACACCTAGAGCATTTCAATGATATGTTTTGAAATTAATAACTTCCATCTGATTTATGTTTTCAATATTATTTAATAACATGGCGCGGAAATCAGGCAGGTTTTGAAATGAGGTAGGCATACTCTCTGATTAAATGGTTAATGACAATACTGAATGCTTACCCAAAATAAAACCTCTGAATGCTGTTTAATTCAAAAGTCAACAATATTTATGAAATACCTACTATGGTTAGAGATAATAAAAGACTGTAATGATCAGTTAATTTCCTCATTAACCCCCGAACACTAGACTATTTTAAAAAAATAAAATCAGTTTATCCTTTGTTTTCTATCACCTCTGTATTCTTGCCGCCCCCCCTTTTTTTTTTACAATATATCCTGTCCTTTCTTTATGCCTCCCTTTTATCCAGTGGGAGAAGATAATCTGGGGAGTACACTAAATTGTCAGAAATCTATTCTTGACTCCTCCATAAGATACAGACACTTTAAACGATGACTTCTACAGTAAAGACAATGCTTATTCCAGAAGCAAGAACTTCTAACAGTGGAAACAGGACAGATTGCACTGAAAGATATGTTTTGAATCAAAGAGTGATCACAGAGTTTTCAGATACCTTCAGATGAATGTAATTTTACCTAACACAGAATGATCAAAACACTCATGTTCTCTGGTCTATTCCTCTGCTATTTCTCCAACCTTAATCTATAGAAACCTCAAAGCAAAGGGCAAGCTCTACATTGTTATGAAAACTCCCTATATATTCCAGTTAACATAGATCACTTGCTTCTACTGTCTACAATCTTAATCATACTATAAAACAGCTTTTTTTTCTTTTACTGTAACATATCTCTTAAATGCGTTCATGTTGTGTCCTTGAAAAGAATAAAATTTCTTTAAAGGCAAAAACTCTTTATTTCTGTTCCATTTATAGCATGGTGGAAGGAACATAGTGTCTAATAAATATCTGATTAGTGGCTTAGAATAAAAGAAAAAAGCACTGATAAAAAGATGACACCCTGCTTAGAAAATATTTATCAACAATACTTATCAAAAATATTTATGAGTAGATGAAGGAGGGTTCAGTTGAACTGAAAGGTCTAAGTACAGTCACCTAGAAATTTTTATGCAGATAATGTCTGCTTAATTGAACACAAGGACAAAAACCACACACAACCAATAATTATGAATACCTCATCAACAGTATTCCAAATACACTTTGAGGTATGTACAGAGTATACATTTATGTTTGTATGTAAAATGGGCATTATAATACTACCTCATTGGGTTGAGAACAAAGTCAGATAAAATGTATAAGGAGTCAAGTACAAGGCTTTAAACATTCATCTATGAATGCTGATTTACTTATTCCTCTTCTTCTACCAGGCCCCAGGTTTAATTTGAACACAAGTTTTCCTTCCATTCTTTTCTGTTTTTATTTTATAAAAGCCTACTCACTTTGTTTCAGTAATTGTAAAAGGAAAATAAATGTGATTATTCCTCATAAGACTAATATGAAATTTAGCAGGAATGGAGAAAAAGAACATCTTAATCTAAAAAATTTATGTTAGACCTTCAAAAGACATTAAAATATCTTAATGAAGAATCAGGCCTCCATTTCTATATAGAAACTCTAATTTTCACTCAATTACTTTTTAAATGGTTCTCAACTCTGAAATCGTCCTTTATAGGAACACACCTCCCTAGCTTTGGTCATCAATTTTAGAAAAATTCTAAAAACTCTGAGGTCTCATACCTGGTCATTATATCCAAAATGCAATTCTTAAAGTTATTTTCTTATGATTCTCAATATAACTGGACTCTAAATCCACTGGACTTGTTTCTCAGATTTTTCTCACAATTGGTAAGGACTATGTAAATGGGAATCCCAGCCCTGCAATACATATTCCAACTTTCCTCCTGAACGTTAACTACCCCAACTTTCCTTCTATAAAAGAACTGTGTGTGTAGTCTCCAACCATAGGCAATCAGCTTCACACATTAACCCAATAGGAACATCCTCCCCTACTGACCCGTTTGTCAGGTTCCAGTCCCCCAGCACTTCTCTCCTCTGCTGGCCCTGAAGCTGTAGTCATTAAATGGGTACGGAAGAGGAGGTAGGGGAGGGGAGGGGAGGGCTTTGGGAGGTAGTTTGAGAGCTTGAGAAAGAAGAGAACTGCTGCAATGATCCTACTCATTATCCTCTCTCAGTTAACTCCAGGAAGTGTCTCTGCTTGCTGAGAGGTCATATGGCTGATGTTCAGCCTGGTTAATTGAGTTGGGTGTCTAGTTTTTACCCCCCACTCCCATGTTGCTCATGATGCTCAGGGGATCTTGTTAGTGCTGCTGAAGAAAGGGGATAGAAAAAAAACACCCCACTTTGCATTTATTTATTTATTTTAACCCCCAGCATGACTATCAAACTTGATAAACTGGAGGAAATAATGAGAAAGTTCTGGTTAAAGAAAAAGGGAGAGAAGCAAGGAAACAATTTTTGAATATCTGCTATGTTCTATTCATATTCTTCTTGGCAGCAAAATTCTCCTAACAACCTCGAGTGGTAGAGTTACTACTAAGACAGAGATTGTAGACTCAGTACAGTCATTAGTTTGCTCCAGATGACTCAGCCAGTAATGGGTAGATGTAGGATCTAAACCCAAGCATGTGATGACTTTAAAGTCCACCTATTATTTTTCATCATGCTTTTCTAGACTTCTAATTTTAAAAGCCAGTCAGAACCATTTCATTCCTTTGCTATTCTTCCCATTCCTGCTTTTTGCTCCCCATATTTGATCTCCAAGTTAAGCTATTGTATGACCTGTCCAAAGTTTATCCTAAATAATAAATACTTGTGCAGTAAATGGATGAATAAAGGAATAACTATCTGCTTGCTGTCATCCACCTATCTTCAACATTTTCCATCCTATGTATATGCCCCCATTCATTTAATTGTTCTTAGTCAGTGACTGAAGATAGAGAGGGTACTAGTAAGGATGTGTGAGGCACTCATTTGTATTTCAAAACACGCTTATTGGGGTTTCCAGGAGTTCACAAAGAATAGTTAAAGCAACATCAATGACTGGGCTAAGATGAAGAAAATGAACATACAAAAGTATTTTTAGTCTGGAACAAATAGGACAATTTTGTTTCTCTCCCAGATTCTATCCTATATAATAAAAGCCTAATATGCTAAGTGTCCAGTCATCCATTCAACCAATCAAAGCGTAATATGCTAATGATATGCTAAGGCTGCTCAATTGCTCGCTATGATGTGCACTGACCACCAGGGGGCAGACACTCCAACTGGTAGGTTAGCTTGCTGCGGGAGTCCGGCCGATCGGGACTGAGCGAGATGGGCCGGACACACCCTGGAGCCCTCCCACGGTCCCTCCCTGGCTGGCCAACCTCCCGTGTCCCTCCCTGGTCCCGATCATGCACCGGTGGGGTTCCTCAGCCTGGCCTTCACCCTCTTGCAATCTGGGACCCCTTGAGGGGATGTCAAAGAGTGGTTTTGGCTCGATCCCGCAGGCGAGACTGAGGGACCCCACTGGTGCATGAATTTGTGCACCGGGCCTCTAGTAAAATATAGATTAGAGGCAGTTGAGTTAATATTCAGATGGTACAGGTTTCAAAACTCAGTTCAGACATCATCTCCTCTATCAACCTTCTCCAAAGCCTGTAGCCTGGGCTACCTGGACACCCTTGCGCTCCACAGCACATTGTTTTAAGTCTACACTGTAACTCCCATATCGGAAGGTAAATACCTCAATGAGAGAAGTCATATCTCAATAATTTTTATATCTTGAAAACTTGTACAATGGCAGACACATAGTAGAAATACAATAAATATTTATCTAAAAGAGAGCACTAGCTTACCTGTTTTTCATGTAACTACTCCCAACCTCCAATTCATGGGCCAGCTTCCACCCCACCATCCCAACCCCATTTTTTTGGTCCTCTTTACATTACAAGCCCTAGAAAGGGTTGTCTAAATTCACTGTCTCCAGTTCCTTATATTCATCCCAATTCAGCTTTCACCCCACCTTTTTTCCAAACTGGCTTTCATGAAGATAAACAATAACCTCCAAACTTCTAAAACCAATGGTCCTCCTTTGACTTGACCTAGCAGAATTCACAGTGGGCTATCACTCTCTCCTCCTGCACATACCGCCTTTACTTTGCTTTCATACCACCCTCTCTTGGTTTTCCTCTTCACCCACAAATTTTTTGGTTGTCTCCTCCTCTCCCAACTCCTAAAGCTGGACTCCTTCAGGGTGGAGTTCCTTAGTGTCAGCTACATCTTCCTCCCTCATCTACCTACATTTATGCCCTTGGTGATCTCAATCATGTAGATCTTGGCAAATACCAAATTTGTATCTGCAGCCTGGACTTCTCTCCATAAGTCTGGTCTTGAACATCCAACTGCCTGTTTGACACATCTGGACCTTTAACCTCAAACGTACCCCATTCACAGCTTTTAATCTGAGTTGATATCTACTCCATTCTTCCAACTGCTTAGATGAAAGTTTTTCTTCCTTTTTTTTCATACCCATAAGGAAATCCTATTTACTCTATACAGGATTTCTCTTTCTAAATATATCCAATTACCACTTCTCACAATTTCCTTCATTACCACTTTATCCAAGTCACCATAACAAGACCTCCCTTGGTCCCATGAGAGCCTAATGTCAACTCAGCAGCCAAAGTGATTCTTTTAAAAAATATGTCAGACCTACCTTCCTCCACACTGACCCCACCCCTCCAGAGAAACAATCCCAGCTTTCTGAAAGGTTTCCACTTCTCTTCTCGTCCTGGCTGGACTTTCAATTCTGCCCATGGAGTGAGTCTGACAGAAACACTGTCATTATTAATGAATCCTGGTTTTGAGCTAGCCTGTGCAAGTCTGTCCCATGCAAAGTGCTGTAGTTAAGAGCATGGGTGCTAAAGAAACACTTCATGGATTTGAATCACTTTTCCACTATGCTTGAGTTTCATTTTCCTCATCTATAAAACCAGAATTAAAGGTTTGTTGTGAGAATTAAATGACCTGATATGTGAGATACTTAGAATAGTGCCTGCCACAGAGTAAATGGATCTATAAACATTCATTATTATGTTTATCATACAAAAGGGTTAAAATGAACAAAAAACATTGCGTTAATTTTAGACAGTCAACTTTCCTGCCTCTTATTTTTGTGTCAAGTATATTAGATTAATAATATCTTCTGAAAGCAACTCAAAAAGTACCCCATACTATTCTACATATGATGTATTGGCAAAATGTTGGAATAAACATACCTTTCAAGGTATATTGATCACAATCTTAATTGTTACAGTAGTCTTATTTTGGTACCTCTTAACATGTAAGGTAAGAGTCTTTAACGTCAGAAAGGTAAAAATGCTGATTTGGAGGGACAATAGTTTTTTTTTTAATAATATATTTTTATTGATTTCAGAGAGGAAAGGAGAGAGAGATTAAAATATCAATGATGAGAGAGAATCACTGATCAGCTGCCTCCTGCACACCCCACACTGGGGATTGAGCCCACAACCCAGGCATGCACCTTGACCAGGAATCAAACCGAGACTTCCCGGTTCATAGGTTGACACTCAACCACTGAGACACATTAGCCCGGCTGTTTTAGATATCTTGAGATGAAACTATGGTAAGATTTCTGAGAGAAATATTATGTCTTGATGCAGCTTAGCCTTACAAATCTGTGCTGCAGAAGAGATTACTCTGATAAAGACACAATTAAGCATAGCAGATGTGCTGCATTAGGTCTGAAGTAACAACTGCTTGTACAGCAGTCTGGGTGTTTGCCACAAATCAAGAACAATGCCAGACAACCGCGATCACATTCACCTCAACTGCACTACTTAGTCTTCCACCCTTTCTGTTCGAACAAGTGCATGTATCCATGTGTGTTCATGTGTGTCTACCATCCTTGTATCATATTTCTCTGTGGGAGTCAGTCCCCACAGTGGCACCCACTGATCTCCGGGCATTCATGTCCTTGCATGGTGATCCCACAGGAATAGCACTAATTTGTATGTCTTGACAGCACCCACAGAGGTGCTGGTGGGTGACTTCTAGGCCATATCATACAAATATGACAGCTGGCCCCTTGCTTGCTTCCTCTTACAGATCACTTGCTCTGGGGAAAGTCCATCACCACGTTAAGAGGATATTCAGGAAGCCCCATAGAGGCCAAACAGAGAGGAATGGAGCTATCTCCACTCATCCCAACCAGCAAGCACCAACTTTCTACCTTAGAATGAGTGACACCTGGCACAGCTGAACTTCACAAGGCACCAAGCTTGAACACCCAGAAAAAACAAATTCTAGACACAGAGTAACTCTGTGAGATGATAAATGTTCCCGGTAACTTTAAGCCACCATGTTTGTGGTATTTGTTACGCAGCAATGGATAATCAACACACTCTTGATCCTTGCCATCCTTTCCAAATGCTTCTGTCTGCACTGCCGTGTCTTTCTCTTCCCCTTCTCACTTCCTGTGTCTTTTCTGCTTCTTTAAATGTCTATACAACAGATTAGGAATATATGTCATTTTTTACACTTGTTCAAATTAGTGTATGGTTCCCTTTTAAAAAGTATAATTATGGCCCTGGCCAGTTTGGCTCAGTGGATAGAGAGTCAGCCTGTGGACTGAAGGGTCCCAAGTTTGATTCCTGGTCAGGGCACATGCCTGGGTTGTAGGCTCCAACTCCCGTGTGGGGCAGGAGGCAGCCGGTTAATGATTCTCTCTCATCACTGATGTTTCTAACTTTCTCTCCCTCTCCCTTCCTCTCTGAAATCAATACTCTCATCACTGTTTCTAACTTTCTCTCCCTCTCCCTTCCTCTCTGAAATCAATAAAAATATTAAAAATAAATAAATAAAAAATATAATTATGACAAATTTTTGTTTTCTTTGTTTCTAAAGAAAAACTACCTTCTGTGTGTGAGCTGGACTGATTTTTCCCTAGTGCTTATTCTTTCCTTAGCTATCAACTTGGGAAAGGTAAGGATAGAATTGGGGGGAAAAGTTCCCCAACAATCATTAAATCTCTTAATAAAATTAAGATACTAGTAGATAAGACAATCATTCAAACAGACACTTTATGCTTAGCAACACTATATATACTAAAATGTCCTATGATGTACATGATTATTTAAAAAGACTATGTTAAAGTAAGAGTGAACCATATTTCATAAAGAATTTCGCATGGTGGGAGGAAAAAGCATTAAATATTGTACAATAACTACCTCTCTTCCTATTCCCAAAGTTACTTATTTAATAACATTTAAATAGTTGATAAAATGTGGCCAAATGTAATTTTAAGTTTGATTGGGATAATATAGTTTCCAAAATTGGATCCTTGAACTCCACACATAATTCAGGAGCAATTCACAAGGGGCTGCTTCCAGTGTTCTCTATCTTATATTTTCTACTCTTCTAATTTTGTTTATATAATAAAAAATTTTGTTTTAGTTTTGCTGTTACCAATTTATGGTATCCTAGAAACTCCACAATGACCGAAAAGGACAGGTAATCACAACAAAGCAGAATTACCAACATATTTATGGCCTTATCATCTGACAGGAAAGGTCAGAGCTTCTCAGAGTTTATTCATATCCCTGCACCAGCTTTCAGTCCTTTGAAAATTGCTCCTGGATACCCGGCTTCCCTGAAATCACAGGCAGTGGCAGCCACTCTCTAAAGGCATAAATCAGATTCTAAATAACTGATGGCACTTTTTCCTCTAGACCTGGACAAGGGAAGCACTACATTCCCATAGTTGAGTGCTTGCAATTGGAAAAGCCAGTGCACCGAGGATGTTTGGAGGGTTTAATTTCTGAAGCCATCTAAGAAAACAGTCTTTGGGGATTATGAAAAATAAAAGTTTGTCTTGAAAGTCACTGGCATTTTAATATCTTGTCTTCTTTCATTCTCCAAATCCAAATGAAACACTATCACAAACTTAGTATTTGTTTATCAATGGATCCTATCATGACTTTTTTTTTGTTCCAAAGTTAAAATGTGCAAAGTGTGTGTTATTTGGCACACTATACTACAAGCCAATGACATAATGGAAGTGAAATAGATGCATATATGTATATGCAACTATCTACTTAGAGAAAAAAACCCAAAAATTACAGAGAGATGTTTAATAAAAAGCAAGACAAAATATTTTGAATTTTTTTCTATAGATGTCAGTAATTATTTGTTGTAGGGAACATTAAGAAGTAGGTCATAAGAAACCTTTGTTCTAATAATTAGTAACATCCTATTTAAATGTCTGGCATTTAACATCCCAGTAGTCATGGTAGTCAGGCATTTCCTCTGATACATATGGATGCAGCTGGGGTAGAACCTGAAAACCATCCCGGAGAAAAACATTTGAAAGCTCAGGATCTTTCATCTGTTGGCATGGTTGTCAATCAATGAGTTATCTCTTTACTTATCTCTAAATAAATGTTGCTTTTCTATTTAGTTATTTCAATAAAAATTAATACAATCCTATTAAGGGCTACTCAGAGGACTTTCATAAGAAAACCCTTGCATTAATCTTCGTTGCTACGCTTTAGCTTATGTTTATCACTGTGCTGGCAAACACACGGCAGTGAGACTCAGTGCGGATTCTTGGGTCTGACTGTCTGGGATCAGATGCTGTTCTGCCACTCATTGGCTGTGGGACTTTGGACAAGTAAATTAATCTCTTTATTTCTCAATTCCCTCATTTGTAAAACAGAGGAGCCATGTAACATCACAGCATCATTAAATTAAAAATACACATAAAGCACTTAAAGCAGTGCTTGGCACATAGCGCTCAATAAATACATCTTAACTATTTTGTTATCATTATTTGTCCTGGCAAACAAAGAAAATGACTGAAGTAGGTTTAATGTGTGAATGATGTACTTTCAGGGGGACACGGTCTCTGTTGCTAATTATTCTCTAATTTTGTCAGATAAGCCCATAGAGAAAACAAGAGGCAGAAGACAGGTTACAATTTCCATGCAGTGCTTTTACATAATGTACATTAACCCTTTGTGGTCGTATTAAATTTGGACATGGGTGTCGTACTGGTCGGAATTAATTTCCATTGAAAGAGCAGTGATATGTAACATGCAAGATTATGAAGGATAAACAAGATTTATTAATTCTTTTTTGGAACTACGTCACTACTAGTAGAATCACTACAAACGTTATCACTTTCTACGTCAGAGTCAGTATTCAAGGTGCCAAAATAAAACTCTTCATCGTTACTTTCAGATTCGCAGTACACTTCTTTCGGTAACTTTCTTTTTGCCATTTTGGAGTATTATTTTGAAATATCTTAACAAGCGAGAATGCCTAATTACAGTTAAACGTAATTTGTAAAGCTTTATTTGAAATTCTGCGAAGTATCTCCGAAGCTTGTCGATTTCTTCACTCTCAAAAGGCGACTGACTCGCCACAGTGTTTTGCATGGCGAGTGTGGAACGACCGCGTTTGTTTATATTGAGTTTTGATATCTCCGATTTGTCGGGGCAATGTTTTGGTTCGTGACAAGGTCACTTAGACACTTAAGAGCTTTCAGAGAAATTATGAACTGATACATGAATGAATAGAGTTAAGATTCGTACGGTTCCTTGCTGTGGTGGCTGAGAGCAGACATACGACCGGAACGGTAAAAAAGCTTTGGTGGCTGAGAGTAGACAAACGACCGCAAAGGGTTAATATGTCACCTCTGTCTACATTACCCCATTCAGCCTCAGTCCTCATTCTAGGCTATACATGCTGTCATAGCTTAAGGCCGCAGTCAAAACACAGATCAAATAACACCGCCTATTACATGAAAGAAAAACCAATACAACCAAATTGCTATTTGTCTTAAAAATGCCATGATTATACATCCTAGCACCTCTGTAAATTTCAGAGTGCTGCTGTTCAGATATATTATTCATGTAGCAGTTAAAATCTGAACCTTCATCTTCTGACCTTAAGTTGGACATTACAGCTTGTATGAGAAGTTACTGTGAAAAGTTAATTTTGTGGTTATCTTAAATTCTCAATGATTTTAAAAAATTTTAGTCACTTAAAAATTAATTGTTCAATATTTAGAAACATTGGACATTGGAGTAATAGAAGCTAGGCTGCCAGTACATCCAACAGAGGAAAGTTAGGATTCATTCTGTAGAAACTATCTTATCCAACTTCTTTTCTTTTCCTCAAGAGACAACTTGACATTAAAAAGTAGAAAATGGGGCCCGGCCATGGCGGCTCAGCGGTTGAGTGTTGACCTATGAACCAGGAGGTCAGGACCGGGGGGTGTGCAGGAGGCAGCCAATCAATGATTCTCTCTCATCAATGATATTTCTACCTTTCTCTCTCCCTGTCTCTCTGAAATCAATAAAAATATACTTTAACTAGAGGCCCGGTGCATGGCATTCGTGCACTGGTGGGGAGCGTGGCCTGCGGGGATCAGCCCACTATGGGAGCGCTGCTCATCCTGGTCAGCCTAGCGGCTGTGGACCCACCCTCTGAGCAACTGCTCATCCCGGTCAGCCATCCCACTGTGGAAGCACACTGCATTGAGCGTCTGCGCTCTGGTGGTCACTGCTTGTCATAGCGACTGATCCAGAGGTCGTTCCACTGTTCGGTCGCTGAACTTTTATTATATAGGATAAAAGATGGTTCTGAAACAATAACATTCAGTATTTGATAAGTGAATCCCATGAATGTATTATAGATTTGCATCAAAACTATGTATTTTCATAATAAATTTAATGAGAGTCACCTTGAGTTATTTCATAGAATTTAAACATGAAATGAAGAAATGTTATCATTTATATGTTGGTAGGGCTATGGTGATAATTTTATAAACATAATAATAATAACAAAAACCCTCATATACTCTGGCTTGGCATTGTAAAACCATGCTAGAGAGCAATCTGGCACTAAATAAAGTAAACATAGACCTTATGATCTGACAACTGCTTTTCTAGATATATATGAAAAGCTCTTACAGGTCCATAAAGGCACATAGGTGAGGGGGTTCATTACATTATTGGGCTGGGTGGGATTGTGGGGGGGGATGATGCAGGGTTTGGAAGCAATTTGGTGTTCAGCACTCAGAGAGTGGATGGGCAAATATACTAGATGTATAAAGCACAGTGCTATGAAAAAGTTAAAAGGAAGAGAATCAATGTGTATATAGCAACACAGACTGATCTTAAAAGTATAGGCAGGGGTGGGTACAGATTAACCAAAGAACTTATATACATATGCATAACTCGTGGACACAGACAATAGTGTGGTGAAGGCCTAGGGCAGAGGGTGTATGAGTTAGAAGAGGGTTAATGTGGAAAAAAGGGGGATATCTGTAAAACTTTCAACCATAAAGATAAATTAAAATTATATAAAGAATTATTTAAAAATATATATATATCCAGAAAAAAACATGGAGGAAGCTTGACTGCACCTTGTGAACCAAAACAAGCCAGTCTGAAAATGCTATACACTGTAGGATTCCACTTACACGAGACTCAGGAAAGGCAAAACTATAGAAACAGTAAAAAGATGAGTACCTCCCAGGGGTTTGAGGGGAGGTTAGAAGTGATGAATAGGTGAAGGGGATCACCAGGTGGTGAAATTATACTTCATGATATCACAATGGTGGATACATGACAGTATGAGTTTGTCAAAACCTACTGAACTTTATGACACAAAGAATATACCTTTTTGTCAGCAAATTTTAAATCAAAAAGGATTAGGGGATCCTGGGAAAATGCATATTGTGATAAGAGAACCTAACTCTGTCACAAACATAATGAATAACCTTAATGAAAGGAGAAGAAAAAGTGTTGAAATAAGTAAATAGAAGTCAATAGAGTCTGTAAAATTAAAGGCAAAATGAACTGCAGGTAAACACTGTACTCTAGTTGATCAAGTTGTTTTCTCCATGGGCACACGTTAACAATTCTAATAGTGCTGCTATACATGTAAATTGGAATTGAATAATTAAGTAAATGGATGCAGATGGTGGGATCCAGGATTCTCACTGTTGAATGGGACATTACAGACAAAAAAGGGAGAATAAAATGATCCATGTGGTACTGGATTAGAGTTGGAAGCATCAGTAAGAAGTCATGTTAAACTTAATAAAAGTATAGATGGTTACATATGTATAAATGTGGGCAGATATACAGATTAGTACATACATCTTATTTTTTTGCTGAGAGAGCTTAAAAATGATACCCCAATAATAAGCACACATAGCACCTCAGTTTCTAATACCATTCTCCAACAGAAGGAAACAGACTCTAGTAATGGCTGATTCTAAGAGCAGGAAATATACAAAAGGCAATCCTGGGATATCTTATAGTAGAAACAAAGGAAGCTTACACACTCTGGTATACACAGGTACATACACACACACATACCCCGTACGTTTAGGGGATATATGTCAAAGATGCACAGTAGCCAAGTGGCCTAAATTGGAACAGTTTGAACAAACAAATAACTAAAGTAATATTACACTACAAATCAAAGTATAAAATCAATATCTATGAGTCAAATATGAAAATAAATTATTGAATACATTTTTGAATGGGGCAAAAGGGATGAATCTCCCATGAAGAAAAATTATAAATTATGTAACTACTCCACCCACGGAGGGGAGGTATATCTCCCACTATTTCAGTGGTCGGCAAACTCATTAGTCAACAGAGCCAAATATTAACAGTACAATGACTGAAATTTCTTTTGAGAGCCAAATTTTTTAAACTTAAACTATATAGGTAGGTACATTGTTATTAACTTAATTAGGGTACTCCTAAGGCTTAGGAAGAGACACACTCAAGGAGCCAAAGAGCCGGATGTGGCTCGTGAGCCGCAGTTTGCCGACCACGGCACTATTTAACTGTGTCTGCACATTTGACTCCCTCCTCAATCATAGGGAAGGACTAACATATAATACTTCTAGGCTGATGGTCAAGGGCAACAAAAAGTGTCTAAGTCATACTGATAGTATGCACCTTTGATAATGATGTGATAAAAATGGCATTTTATGATCTTCCTCTTAGACATAGTCCAGTTTAAGCAGGAGAAAAACATCAGACAAATGCCAATAGAGGGCTATCCTATAATATGTCCAACAAATACTCCTCAGTACTGTCAAGGTTAACAAAAAGCAGGAAAGTCTGAGAAAGTGTCACAACTAAAAGATGCCTAAGGACACATAACATCTAAATGTATTATGGGATCCTCACTGGGATCATGGAACAGAAAAAGGACAGTAAGTTAAAAAGTAAGAACATATAAAGAAACTATGGACTCTAAGTTAACAACAATGAATCAATATTGGTTCATTAATTGTAAGAAATGTACTATACAAATAGGTTAATAACAGTAGGGAGAACTATGTGTGTGGGTTGAGGGAAATATATAAGAACTCTACTATCTGCTCAATCTGATTTATAAATCTAAATATCCTCAGGTGAGGATTAAAATCTAAAACTATTAAAATAAGCTTATTATTAAAAATATACAATTACATACAAAGGTAATAAGGGAAAGGTAAAAATAATATTTATGTAAAGTGTAAGTGCACACAAACATTCCCCCCCAAAATAAAGAAAAACAAAACTATATGCAACTTACTTCACAAAGAGGTAATATCACTAATATATGAAGAACTTCTAACAATAGAGAAGAAAAAAAATACCAATAACTTTATTTGTAGAAAAGATGGGCTAGCCAGAGAAAAAGAATGTGAACAGCTATTAGAGATATAAAATATGCTCAATCTCCTTTATAAGAAAAGTGAAAATTAAAATTACTCTGGGATATTATATATCACCTATTAGCTTGCTACGGCTAAGGGAAATCAGGTACTCTTCATCATTGCTTTGTACAACACTATGGAGGAGCATTTGGAAGACACTTTGTCCAGTAATTACACTTCTATGCATCTATCCAAAAAATACACTGGCAAAAATACACAAACACATGCAAAAGACTATTCATTGCAGTTGAAGTAATCACATCACTGTAGTATTGGCTTAAAAACAAACTAAACCATCAATGAAGTAGTGAAAGAGGCTAGGAATAGGTCCATGTGTACACGGATAACTGATTTTTGACAAAGCTGCAAAGATAATACAG